GTTCTTTTGTACTAGTAATTAGATGTATTTTAAATTGGCATAACTATAGAAAAGGAGACGCTTGATTAAGTAAAAGGCAATTTAAGAGAAATTGAATTAATTTCAGCACATATCCATAAAAATGCATTTCAATACATTTCACAATATATTTTTGATAAGAATAAGTAAAATATATTACTGAAATATATGATTACGTCTTTAAAGTTTTATCAAGTAAAACTATATATTAGATGTACTATTATTTGCTTTACATGTGTGCTTTTTGAATTATCAATATTAGAAATGCTGCAGAAGAAATATTCATAACTCTAATTCATACAGTTTTTAAAACTTCACAGAAAAAGATGATCAAATAACATTTATTTAATTGTTATTTTACCGTATCCATACAAAATAGTAAAACAAAATAAGGCGGTATTGAACTGCTAAAGGTGAGAAAACCGTTTATTAACTGCTTTCACCTTATACAGCTAAGCAACCAGAATATCATCGAAGAAGCCATTTGAATACACTTAATGAAGCCATTTAGTTTCGTACAGCTGGTTATACATTATAGCCAAAGCCTATCTAGGAGGCTTTGTTATAGCCGAGAGGACTAATCTGTCAGTCTCGTGACAGACACAAAGGTGGTTCGAGTTGTTGTTGACGTATGCCATTGAGGCAGAGGTGGTGCGATTATTCTTGTTTTCCAGTAGCGCCATCTATGGCTAAGAATTGGTGATTCGAGTTCTGGCGTTGATACCACAATATTTTTCCATTCCTTTCCACACATAAAGAGTTTCCAGCCATTTGCATTCCCCAATTTGCTACTTAGCTCCAATGTCCAGTTGCCATTTTCCCATCCTTTTGAAACCATACTAGTTCTAAATCATTAAAAAGCCTTATAGTTTTGTATTCATCGTTTTCTAACCATGCTAGCTGTAAACGGTTTCAAATCCGTAAAGGTAAAAAAATGTTCTTTTCCGCAAACTTTACCGTCAGTTGGATGGACAGACAACTGCTGGTTATTTTGCCATAATTTAAGAATGAAAATTCCAACGATGTATAACTAATATCATTAACTTAATAAATTGTCCTCTCCAAATCAGTTCGTCTATAGATTTTGGCGAAAAGTGTGATATTCAAACACATACACTGATTTTATTGTTACCAATAATTCAAAAATGTTATTTGCCTCATATTTTTAAAACCCAGAGGTATATATCAAGTAAATATGATTACAACTAACAACGGCAAGTTTAAAGGCAGATAAAAAATATCTTTTTTCATAAAATGTGTTCACTAATACTATTTATTGTCTTAAATAGCACTTAAGTCAAGTTTTTTTTCTTCACATTATTACGTCGTAGTCGCATTACATTCCTTCATGAAGAGTTTTGGATAATAAACCTACTTTTTGAACAAGTGTAATTAATGATTCTTTGTTAACGTGAAAACATAGCTTTACTTATCAATATTTCCGGCTTCCATATAACTAGACTAAGCATCTAGCAAATGTTCATTTTATTTAAAAGGGCACATACTTGTTGCTCTTACGCATATTTGAGACGTTTCAAAGAAAAGCAAAAGGTGGTGCTTTCGCATCAATTCAAAGTTTAAGACTCGATTCAATTTTTGTTTCATTTTTTTTGTTTAATTTTTTTCTCTTCAAAATTGAACTCTTTGAGTAATTTAAATTTATTGAATAATATTTTTAATTATCTCGAGCTTGTTATGTGATTCATTGTCTGAAGTTTAGATTCTACAAATTCTGCTAGATTCTATCAAATACCAATCGCCAAAGATTCTTATATCTTTCAAAGAGATTATAGCGTTACTCACATCATCAAAACAAAATAGTTATTCTCAAGAAATTTCACTTCAAAGCATGAGCGAAAACTAATTATTCGGAACTGATTAAAACCATTTGACTGCTCATTTTCATAAATTAAAATCAGTTTTCTCTTAATCTTTGTATCTTTTTTAACTCCGAATAGAAATCATAATAAAATTATTTGGACATTACCTGGGAAAAATACGTAGAATATAATACTGTTGAAGGAATTAAAAATAATAAAACGCCATTTTTAAAAGAAATAATAAGTATCTTCTAAAAGTTTATACAATTTTTTGAATTAAAACTAAAATTTGTTTTAGTTTGTCATCTTATGGAATAAAGAATTTCATTCAATTTTTAAAGTTATTGACGAGAATTTGAACGGAACGGATTCAATTAGATTCAATTTTTTTCAACAATTTGTCAAAGAGTAGTTTAGTAGTTTAGTTTATGGACTTAAATGAGAGAGATTAAATTTAGAATGAATGCATTCAATAGGTGATAATAATATTAATTGTCCTGCACAACAATACAAATTTTGGCTAAAGCCTTGTCCTATAAATTTAAAATTTATTGAATAAGTTCTAATAAAAAATTACTCATGGGTAGTGATATGCTTTGAATGTTGCGACAATTCATGATGCACTATGTTATATAAAAGTAATTTTGATATATCAAAACCTTACAACAAAACATAACTAAAGAAAACAAGCAAATCCCTTTCAATAAGCCTCAAAGCTATTAAATTTGAAATACGATCCAAAAAGACTATTGTGACTCGTTCGGATTTTTCTTAACTCGTCGTATCTCTGGAGCCACAACAAGAATTCGAGGAAAACAATAGGCCTTCACCAAAACAAATAAAAAAAAAGTCCTTTGACACATCCACTATCTCAGATTCTTATTGATAAAGTGACCTATTTGTATAGGGAGAAAAATAAAAAAAAGCCACTATCAGACCGGAAATTTCTTACGTATTTTTCTGGAGGAGCGGAAATTTATGGGTTTCCCTTTCTTTTCCAAACGACACAAAAAGCAATGTCCCCAAAAGATCCATCTCCCGCGTAATGTCGATGGACATCATTGGACCGATTTATGGACATATTTTATGTCCGGTCTTTCCTTATGGCCTTTCTTAGAGTGATAAGTGTCCAAAGCTCTGATGGTTCATCCAATCGCCCGTTCGGGGGAGGTGTAGCGAGAGTATATTCAATTTCGTTATGAAATATTCCTAAGTTCTACCTGCTACGAGGACTTTAGGAGTACTTATATGAATGAAATGTAGATAGACATTTATTTTGAAGGGGACTCAAAGTATTTGTATAAGAATACTGGGTGGTATTTGAGAAGAAAGGGAGTGAGACAAATGAATTACAGACTCTGGAATAAATCTCGATATATGTGTGGTAATTCATAAATAATTTTTACCCGAAAATAGACTTATTAGACACATAAAATATTAAAATCACGTGAACAATTTTTATTCATACTTTCATAAGATGATTCATAATTTTACATATTCATTCATATATTCATTCATTCATATAAGTACTTCTGCAGAAGTACTTATATAAATGAAATGTAGGTGGATATTTATCTTGAAGGAGTCTCATGGTATCTGTATGAGAGTACTGGACAATATTTGGAAAAATGGTAGTGAGATAAATGAGTTGCAAACTCTGGAATAAATTTCGAGTAAAGTGAGGTAACTCATAAATAATTTTTAACCGAAAATAGATTTATTTGACACATAGAACATTAATGTCACGTGAACAATTTTTATTTATACTTTCAAAAGATGGTTCATAATTTTACACATTCATTCATTATTACAAGTACTTCAGTAGAAGTACTTATATAAATGAAATGTAGATAGACATTTATTTTGAAGGAGGCTCAAAGTATCTATAAGAGTACTGGACGGTGTTTCGGAAAAAGCAGGAGCGAGATAAATGAATTACAGACTTTGAAATAAATTGTGAGAAAAATGAGAAAATTAATAAATAATTTTCAACCAAAGTTAGACTTATTAGACTAATAGAATGCTAAAGTCACTTAAGCAAACTTTATTCATACTTTCATAGATGGTTAAATTTTTTTTTCCGAAAGTGATTTAAAAAATAAATTTTATTTCTCTGTTATAATCTAAGAAAGATAAAAATAATTAATCAAGGAATAATTTGGAAGTAAAATTAAAAAACAATATATTTCAAACTATTTTTTGATGCATCGGATGAGGTATACTGAAGTGAAATTATGTTTATAATTATAATATTGCTCGCAATTTACTTTTGATTAAGGTGTGAATAAAAATAAGACATATGTAAATGTTACATAATCAAGATCTTTTGTTTCTCTCTGAAAACTTCGTTTTTTTTTCATTATATGAATTTGAGTGAAATAGGCAAGGCCTTAATGCTGTAACATTTATATAACATTTTTACAGTAATAGAGCTTGTGTATGCAATTCTTATGATAAATTTATTATTGAGTGATAATTCAGGTAGAAACTAAGCAAGTTAGATGAAAAATTGTGGGGGAAATCTCTTTATAAGTAGAGTTGAAAGATTAATATATGCTAGAAACAAATTTATGACAACAAAAAAAATGTTTGAAAATGATAGGTAGCCACCTTGTATTAAAATAAGCATCATTTTCAGTATTAATACACAGTGTCCCGAAACTGATTGTAGCACTCATTATAACACACTGTTAAAAATTTTGGTCGGAGTTGAACCCCAGTATCAGAAAAGTTCGCATGATCTTTATTTGAAGCATATTATTGGACAAAATAAACTTTTTTGAACTTGAATACACTGTGTGATGAATTAATGTAAATGGAAACAGAATGTGTTGGTTGAATTTTTTTCATACAAATCCGCATTTTACTCTTGAATGCACAATTGCTTAAACGGAAACGGGATTCAATTTTAAATCTTATTAAGACTGCTACAAACTATAAAGATTTAATAGGTTAAGGTACTAATAATATATCTAAAAGTTTCAAAGATTTTTCTGAGTTATCAAAACTGCATCTATTTCTTTTAATAATTCTATGTGGGAATTCTACGCTGTATTCTTAATACAATATTGAATTGTCTACATTATTTATAAGCTACATTAAGTATTATTTTATATTTAAAATGGTTGGTTTTAAGTAACATGTATCTGTAATTATTTTCAGGAGTAGTTGTCAGCTTTGATCTTGCTGCACCAACATTTTCAATGGAACCGCCTTATCTAGTGGAGTTTTACAATACAAATGGTGTAGAAATACCTTGTTCTGCTCATGGTCGCCCTAGCCCGCACGTCAGTTGGGTAAGGCGTGTTGGATCTGTTGTTGAGGATATACCAGGACTAAGACATTTGAAACCCAATGGTTCAATGGTGTTCTTACCTTTCGGCCCTGAAGATTACCGACAGGATATTCATGCATCTATTTATCGATGTATTGCATCTAATATTGTTGGTACTATTGGAAGCAGGGATGTTCATGTAAGAGCAGGTAAGAATATTTAATTTTCAAATATTACTTGCAGAGATTAAGTTCAATGAGGATTTGGAGACGAAATAGTATGTCAATATCGATTTAAATTTTGTAAGATATCTGCAAATTAGCAAGTTTTGATAAAAATGACTATCGGTGTTCATTAAAGTATCTAAAGTTAACTCCCGCAGCAAGCGATATTTGTTCAACAATCCATAGCAACCTCTGGATACATAAACAGATAAATTATATTGAATAAAATACTAAATTTAAAAAACTAGTAAAAAAATATGTATAAACAGCCTTTTTTGTATATATTACAGCTAAAAATATATTTTAATTTAAATAAAATATTACATTTAATTAAAATAAAATTTAGATAACATTTAAACACTTATAATTACATAAAAAGATAATTTATATTAAATAAATAATAAATTTAGTAAAATTAAATTTGAAAAAAAATGCGTATTCAGAGATATTTTTTATTTTAATTTCGTTGCATCTATCGATGTGGTGCCACCTATTAAGCTGTGAAATAACTACACCGGTTAAGTAGGGTAGGTGGCATATTGGGCTTAACAACTATTTTCTTAATTGTTCTAGTTTTATACATGATTGTATTAATTTTACGATAAATAAATAAAAAACATTAAAAAAAAGACTAATTATTATTAATTTGAAAGAAATTAAAAGAAGCAAAAATATTCTTATTATTTGATTAATATTTGTTTATAGTTTGGAAAAAAATTATAATAATTGAATTATAAGAATTTATAAGATTGTACATTAGACATACAGCAGCAATGAAATTTTTTTTATTTAACTATTCGATTCTGAGAAGAATATACTTTACAATAAAAAAATCTGAATTAGTTCTTCGAAATATTTAAAAACCAGTCAGTTTTGGTAAACATAAATATCTAGTTTAAATTCTCTTAGTCGAATCTTTCAAATTGTAAAGTCGAATCTTTCAATATTAAAAAATCTGCAAATTTAGAGATACATATATTAAACGTAATTTTCAACCCACATCAATTGTTTTAAATTCATAAAAAGTAGTGGTTTGTTACTTGTAGTCACTCGAAATTAAATAAGAAACACTCTTAAAGCTTTGTACGGTTCAAAGTGTTAAGAAACGTTCTTATTCTTTGAAATAGAGAACACGGTTGCAAAATAACTAGAATATTAAAGATAAACTCATAAATATGCATATCTTTAATATCGCAGAATAATTTTTTGATTAAAAAAATGTTTTAGAGCGTTGCATAATTAATATTTGACTTTGAATAAATTTTCAGCAAAAAATCATATTTGTTTTTCATCAATCGCCTTTTTTAATTTCCTGTAAAAAAGAATTTAACATATATTATTAACTACTATGTGACCAGAAAAATATTTTTTTCTGGTTGTAAACCATTTTCGTTTTATTCGATTTTGTTCGTGGTTGCGATTCATGGTTATAAATCTTTTCTATTTTTAGTTATAAACTTTTTTTTATTATAAATCTTTTTTTCTGGCTCTATAATCTTTACCTTTTATCGTTATAAATCTCTTTCTTTTTCGGCTATAAACCGTTCCCTTTTCTTGACTATAAGCTCTTTCTATACATATAAGTATCTATCCCGACGATAAATGTTTTCTCTTCTTTTATATAACACTAACTATTTTATAAGTTATGCAAAAAAGGAGCAAATACATAGTTTTTTATCATTCTATTTTACTAATTTTTAAATTAATACACTTTAAAGTTTAAATTAACTTTTCCTTTCCCAAATCTTTTATGAAACTTGTTAAAATTAGACACTCTAAATCCCACATTAAACTATACTTAACTAAAAAAAAAAGAAGCTTTATTGTTAATTGGGATCGGGAGACGAAGTTCTAAAACGTCCCGAATATTAAATGCGACTTCATAAAAGTTGCATATCAAAAGAAAAGACCATCTAATAAAGTTCTTTGTTTCAGCGGGTCGCATAATTAATATCAGGCAAAGGAATAACTTTTCAGCCAGAAAGAAAAACTAATATTTCCTCTCTCCAGAATTGCTTTTCCAAACTTCCCGCAAAGAAAAGCATTCAACACATAATCTCAAACACTATGTGTCCGGGAAAACCTTTTCCTTTTCTGGTTATAAAGAACTGAGAGGCTGTCATAGCAACCTTCTATTGACGTCAACTTTTCTGCTTCCAAACTGACACCCGGACACGCTTACACAAATTGGATTGCCTCTGTAACGCTCGGATCCGGGCTATTAATTATAATCCCCCGGACGTTCCCCAAGGGTCCTGCTGCCGGTAATAATGTAAATGGACTTGGGAATCTTTGTATTAACACCGCTTGCAGCTTCTGTGATGAATATTTCAGTTTTCAGAAGAGTTGGTTTTCAGTCGCGGAGTAAGCGTGTTAAATTTACAGGGACTTGCCTTTCCGGAAGTCTTCCTGGAACTTCGCTTTTGTCTTGTGGCTATCTGGGAGTTATTTTACGATGTAGGGGGACGCATAAATATTGAAGACGGGAGAAATTTTCTTAGGCGGATTGTATTTCTTTGCGTCGTCTAATCCTTAGAAATGTTGTTTTTTTTGAGAATATGAATATTTAATATTTTTTTTTTTGTTTGAAGATTTCACAAAATTGGAACGAGGAAATGGGACTTTTTATTTATTTTTTTCCCTCGTACATTTGGCTTCATGCATTGATTATGAGCTGAATGATACATAAATTTTTATTAAACAATGGCGTACTATTTTAACTGAAAGGGAATGGAAAAGTCTTAAAGGAACTTTCTTTTGTTTAAATATTTAAAGTTGGAATTCTTTCAGAGTGATGCTATAATTTCTAGAAATGTATTTTTATGAGAACTTAGAAACAGTTTTAGAGTTTTTTTTTCAAAACTGAATAATAAATAAAATAAATACAAATAAAAGTAGGTATTTATTCTTTCATACAAATTGGTAATTATAATTAATTTTTTTATTATTAAAATATACAAGAGCAGCATAAATTTTATAAAGATAGAATGCAAATATATGTAAATTTAAATAAGTGAAGTTGGAACGGAATGTGGATTTGCTGGGAAACTTTCATTTTAATCTTACTTTGAGCTAATTATACCATATCTCGAGAATTTTTTAAGCAAATTGAAAAATATTTTCACTTAGTTATTAACTTCGTCAATCCAAAGTAAATTATTTTCTTTCTTAACTTTTAGTTAATATTTATTACTTTTATTATTTTTTTAATAAACTTTTGAAGTTATTGAAAATCTTTTGAACTGTAAAGTACACAATTTTTACATCATTTTAAAAAGTGTAATTTTACATGGCAAAATAAAAATTTCGTGCAAAATTAGTAGCGAGGTTAACTATCAGGAGTGAAATAATTATCGTATCAATGATTTTTTAACTATGACATTTTGTAAAGAATTTAAAATGCTTATTTATTCAAGTATTCCAACATGGAAAAAAGAAATATCAAAAATTCACATTAAGTAAAGTTCACATGCTTTTGCATAGTGATCACCTAGACTGTTGCACAATTTTCATGATTATACAATGAACTAAATAAAAAAGGGAAAAACTTAATAAATTTTTATCTAATGGTTAAACCTTAACGTATCAAAATTCGATTATGATGACTCGAGAGCCTAATCTGAATATTCTAATTAATGCTAAAAATATTCGAAATCAGAAACAAAAACATATTTTGTCTAAAAAAATATACCTTTCTTTTTTCGGGTTTAAATCAATGATTATCATTCTGAAAGATATGGTCCCAATAATTTGGTCAGGTCCTGACTACTGTCCCGAATAAATTATTGGTATCCATTCCGTATACCATATTTTCCATTTTGTAGCTACCTCCTCTCATTTTTTCGAGGGTCAAGAATTTGATTCCGTCGAAAAAAAACGACATGTTTATTCAGAAAAAGAGTTTATGCGTACTACTATTTTGCGTATTACTATTTTGCGTATTATTGAACTATTTTGCAATTACAGATATTGTTTGGACAACAATAATTAATTGGAATACTTACGTTTAGTTTTTTGAATCATTAAGATCGCGTCATAAGACATGAAAATCTGACAATTAGATTATAAGTTATTAAGGAGTTACCTCTAATATTTCTCAAATTGTACAAATATTTACAATATAATGATTTCTAACAAGATAAGACTCGGCGATAAATGAAATACATTTCGTCTACTATAGTCGTCATAGTTGAAGAAACTAAATAACTTAATACTAAAAATTTAGATTTGAATACATATAAAATTGTAGAGCCGTGGTGACTTAAGTAATATGAAATTACTTAGTATGATTTCTAATGAAAATCACATTCATACCCTAAGCTTATAACAAAACCAAGTAGTTAATTGGAGTGAAGTTAATCTACACTGTTAAAATTACGGATCAAATTATGGTAAAAAATACCGGCACTCAGGGTGACCTTGATTTTTACCGTCAAGTCCAATTTTACCATAAGTCTTACGAAGTAAAAAATCTGACATAACGTAATTTTTACTGTAATATATACTTTAAAATCAGCTGATTCACGAAAATTAAATATTACGGTATGTAATTCTATGGTAAAAATGGATTTTTGGGCAAAAGTGTTTTAATAAATGCTGCATTCAGGATGCCAATACTTTTTACCGTACTTTTTCAGTGTAGAGACAATTCGTTTATATTTAGTTAATAAATTAAATGTAAGAATTTGGTCTTTATATGTAAGTTTATTCAGGCAAAAATAAAATAAAATTTTTAAAAATTTTTTATATGCTTTATCGATTGAAAAATATTTATCTTGAACAATTTTCCCTGTAAAACATCATATATTCCAAGATAAGTCACAGTAAATAGTGTTTTCATTAAAAAAGTACTTTATTTTGAATGCGGAGTTTCAGTCAATAGTAAGTTTCCATAAGTGTTGTTCGAAGGACTTATGGAAAAGAAAAGTGAAATTTTATGAATGACTTGTGCAACAAAATTGATGAATGTAACACAATTTTAGAAC